AATCAAAGATGATAAATTTGAATAGAAACTAATCATCGATTGTGACAAATACCTTCCATGTAATGTATTTAAGATTTTGAATAGATAAAGATTTTAAGATATTATGGCAACACGGTATCTCAAGTTAGTTTTTATATACAAGATTTATGTCCGATTAAAAAAAATCATTTCTCCTATAACATTTATTAATACTTTGAAACTCTTTCTGTTTAATAGTTTACATTCATTATAGGCAATAACTTTTTGTATTAATACTAAAGGCACCTTTCTAGTTTTTCTATGTGGCACTGCATAAGTAAAATGTAAACATTTTTCATCTTGATAAACTATTCAATTCTTATAAAAAAAAAAAAGAAAAAAAAAAAAAGAGGTCATCTAACCATCTATACTAGGTCTAAGAAATTTATAAAAAAATTACATAGGAGTAAGTAGAGACTATATGGTAAGGTATGTGATCTCACAATAGGCTTCATGTCATGATCATGTGCAAGTGTGTATTGATCATATGACATTCCTCAAGATCTCCCTTTTGTCAATTGTGGTTATTCAACTGTTGTTATCCCAGGGTACGTTCCATTTACAGTCCTGTTAGTGAACTCTCTTAGGAACATAAAACTTATCTCTGTTTCAATCTCATGCTATGCACAGATATGGTGGGGGCATGAGTTCTGCAAAGGCTGCATTGGAGAGTGATACACGAGTGAGTTTTTTCCCTATTTCTTATAGCATCCTGTTCAGTTTGGTCCTATACTTTTTAGGTTCTATAACTTTAGTAAGATCTAATTTTCTTGATTCAGGTGCTGGCTTTCGAAGCTGGAAGAAAACACAAAATCAGAGTCAACACAATATCTGCAGGTGTAGAATTACTTCAGATTAAATAAATCACAAAAAAAAAAAAATGCTCATTAAGAATTTGAGCAGCAATCTAATTGGAAGGTTAAAATTTTTCAGGTCCATTAAGAAGTCGTGCTGCTAAAGCAATTGGATTTATCGATATGATGATTGATTATTCACTGGCTAATGCACCACTGCAGAAAGAACTTTCAGCAGGTGCGTTGCCAACTATTACTTTATATGATTCATTTCCTGTTAAATATATCAGATTTAGACATGTTTAATGATAGAAACACAACCATATGCATCTTTAAATTTCATGTCTCCAAGTCCAACCTAATAGCATTGTATTTACCAAATCCTAAATGTAATGTGACAGAGGAGGTGGGGAATGCTGCTGCCTTTCTGGCATCACCTTTGGCCTCTGCAATCACCGGTGCTGTTGTGTACGTCGACAATGGTCTGAATGCAATGGGAGTGGGAGTTGACAGTCCAATATTTGAAAACCTTGATATTCCAAAAGATAAATAGAGCTATGTTGTGACTTGTGAGTGGTACAATATCTGAGAACCTTGATTTTCATAAAGATGACCAGAGCTAGTGTTGAGGTTTCGTGGATCACGTTTGGTGCATTTTATTGAGTACAATGATTTAGCAGTAATAAACTGTTTCGAGGATCACGTTTGGTGCATGAATCAATAGTCTTACTTTCAATTTCTTCTTTGCCTTCTCAAGCTCAAGAGGATCCAGATGACTTGCATCAAAAACCTTCTCCACCTGTTAGAAAAAGATATAGATAACTGATCTTGGATTTATGAACTAGCTAAAGTGAAATATTACAAATCTGTTCAAGCCCTCCAATAAATACCTCCTTCACTAGTGTCTGCGTGTCAAGTAATTCAATATCCTCAGAAACTTTTTTAGGAACACTATTCTGTGATGGCATATATTCTTTTCTGAATAGACCCTTTGCAGATCCTTGCCCTCTTCCAGCACCGGGAGCAGGAGCAACATGACTGGATTGTTTCTTAACCCCAGAGTCTCGGTAAGATATGCTTCGAACCTCACCATCCCATCATATGTCCTCTGGTGGGATCTGCAGTCAGAAGGATATTGGTAATATTCCCTTTAAAATCTTCATTTCTTCTTTTGCAATCAGCAGCCAGCTTTCATGATGGCTTGTCCAAAGCAAACATCTATAACGAAAACAATGATATAGTTACAATGCCATGTAAGATTGTAAGTTTACAATCTGTTTCGTTCAATGAGTAGATGTATAAAATATCATAGATGGATCCCTGAACAAAAAAAGGCCAATCATAAAATGACACATCATGATTGTAAGCTTATAATACCACATCATTTTCACTAATGATAAGACAAGATGTTCTTAGTTATTTGTATAACCCTTCATCAAATAAAGTAAATAGAATATTTATTTCAGTTGAAAGGCGATCTTGCAAAACAATTAAGACACCCTGTCCCTTTATGTTGACACATTATACTGCATTGTTTAAAATTCATGCACATAAGAGGAAAATATTAGATTGAAGTTCACAAGGAGTAGAAATCCTAAAATTTCCTTCCAATTCCAGCCACCTCAACAAACCCAAGGCCTGACTTATTTGAAAGGGGGTTATATGAAAATGTCCAAACATTTATACAAAAGTAGATGCAGAATATATCTCAAAACATATTGTAAAATTTTAGCTGTGTAACAGCATTCACCAATAGAAGTGCACAAGATTTTACTCAAAACAAAATAATAACTACTTACCTGTTTGAGATCAACCCATTCCAAGGTTTCATTTGGAGTATTTATATCATAGACCAGAGCATGCCGGCCCTGTATTTAAAAAGAAAAACCAAATAGAAAGCATTAAACTATTGTTGGTTGAAGTTGGAAGAACAAACTGGTATCCTGGATATTTTAGAAAAAGCATGAGAACACATTGCAACATTCTAACATGATTTTGGCCCCCCCGAAAAAAAAAAAAATGACAGGTTCTCTATGTCACTGATTGAAAGTATAGAACAATACAGACAAATAAGCATGCTTAAAAACTTTAGGGATGGGGCCAAGCCTACAGCAGATCTTCCATTCCCAGAAACATAGCCCCCTCCTGGAACTATATTTTGATGTGATGGAGGGACATCATTATCACCACCAGTTATTAATTCAGACAAAGAATACATAATTACAAGGTAAAGAGCGCCAAGCATATGAACTACTACTCTTTACAATGCTCTCACTTGCAACTTTACTGGAAACGATAAAATAAGCAGATAAAGCATAAGAATTCAGCAAGAAGCCCGAAGAAAGCAATCACCCATAATAAAAATTGAGTTCACTTCAACACTCAAATAAACCTTAAACCATAATTTCCTCTCATTCCCAATACATTTAAATCCAAAACACCAGAACCCGTTATAAAAGTAGAAATCAAGCAGAAGAAACCCCAGAAGGAATACAGAAACACATATTCCATAGGCATGAATACAATACAAATTACACAACATACCACTACTATCGGAAACTTGATATTCCATACCGAAGAAAGAGCGCGAAAGGCCTTGCCTTTGTTGCAGAGACAGAACAAAAACCCCAAAGAGAAGTGTCACCGGAAATTCAAAGAAGCTGTGGATGAGATTCCGGCGCAATGCAAAGGGGGACGTAAAGGATGTATGGTGAAAGTTGGTATTTTTAAGAGAGGAGGGAGTTATCGTTGTTCTGAAAACGGGAGCTTTGAAAGGACGATAGAGACACAGATGAGAGGGATTTTTTTGGACTTGAATGTTAGGCTTTAAAAAGTGTAAGGAGCTTTATGAATCGGAATCGTTTGTTATTTATAGTGTGGGCTTTTTAGTTCTGGTCCAAGGCCCAAGAAGCTAGATCTTGGGCCATATAGGCCGAAACTTTTAACTTCCTGGGCCATAGAGAGATTACAAAATTTTGTCAAACCGTTACATCAGTTCGAGGGCCCACTCTGAAAGTTTAGGTAACAGCGGTCATTAACAAGTGAAGGACGAAGGAAAAATGAAAATGGGAAAGGAAAAATGGAAATCATCTTGCATTGACTCTGTAAATTTTGCTCATTTGCAGCAGTCTTCTGTTCTTCAAAGCAAACTGAAAACACAATTCATTGAGTCAGTCTCCTCCAGATGAAGCTCGATCATTTTAGTCATCCTCATCCTTTGGTGCTGGTGGAAGAGGAGATTGATTGGATTAGTATAATTTATTACTGCTCGGCATGTCGGGAACGGGTAGAGGGTTCTTACTACAACTGCTGAGCTACCGAGGGAGATCAATCATCCCTTTCACCTCAACCATCCCCTCATTCTTTACGAGAAGCGGCCGAGATACCCCTCTGTTGGTCCTGGGTTTATTTGCAATTCTTGCGGAAAATCAAAAGGTGCGGATGAATTTGTTTATCATTGTTCCTCTTGTAGATTTGATCTTGACATTAATTGTGCTTTGCTTCCAAACTTGATTACTCGAGATTTACCAAAGTCTCAACATTTTAGCCATCAACATTCACTCTTCTTCATTCAAAACCACCATGTTGAACCCCGAGATCGATCTTGCTCTGCATGTGAAGAGCTGATACTAGGTCCATTTTATGGCTGTTTTGTTTGCCTTTTTTTGCTTCATAAAAAATGCTTTGACTTACCCCTTAAGGTCAAACACCCTAGTCACCGCAAACACTCTCTTACTCTTCTACCTAACCCTCCATCTCATCCAGAGGAATGTTCTGGCCATTTATGCACCAAAGCTAACAAGGGATTCGTTTATTATTGTTCTCTTTGTGAGTTTGGCATTATGATTAAGTACATTTTCTCTAAAGTAATTGAAATTGAAAGTCATGAACATCCATTCACTCTTGTATCAAGGCCAATCACATTCACCTGTGATGCATGTGGTATTGATGGAGAAAAATATTCCGCCCCTTACACATGCACTGTATGTGATCTTATTGTACACAAAGATTGCATTTTGCTTCCCTCTATCATCAAGCTAACGAGACATAAGCATCCAGTTTCCCATAT